AATATCACAAACACACACACTCACACAAACAGACTGACACAGCATCTTCCAACAGACCTGATCTTTTTTAGCAGTAATATTTCCTCCACATGGCCGTCCCCCACCCCCTCGCTCCCTCCTCCACCACGTCATTAACACCTCACTGGGAATGACCGAATGTAATCACCCTCCTCTTTTATTGCAATGACACGGCTATCTACAATCCCATCTTATTAATTCTCCATTGGACTCAATGCATATAGCATCCATTTTCTTGATTAATAAAAAAGAAATCAGCAGAAATGAAACAAAGCTTTGCTCCCTGTGCTGCCTACGATCGCTTTGACTGAATGCAGAACTTGCAGGGCAATTTAAGGCTACCCTGGTTTTCAAGTTTTTGTTTCTTTTTCTTTAATTTCTTTTTTTTTAATTTCACCGGTCTGTCTGCTTTTCGGGGAGAGCACATTTATCAGATATTTGCCAATTGGACGCGGTGTTTTGAAAAATGATTTGCCGCTCACACAGGCCGAGGCCTAATGCTGAACATGTGGCGAGGCAGGATCTTGGCATATCATACTGCAGACAGTCGCTATGCCAGCAGAGCCCTTTCTGTGTTTACTGCCAAGGCAAAGATTTCACAAATGTACATACTGAGGCAAGCACACTGGCTTTGCCTTGACGTTAAAAAAAACAATTGGAACAGTAAACATATATATATTGGGATGTTAGGAACCATCCAGACACAGTTGCACCAGTTTTTCATACAAGTTTGGCTGCAAAGTTTCTTATTTCCAGTCCAGCAGTTGAATAAAATGGGTTGCACCATTAAAACTTGTTACTATCCAATTAAGACCTATTAGTCTTTTTCAACAGGAAATTCACAGATGTTTGTGGTATACCTTTTAAAGTTTGCAGTATGTTGTTTTTCTTGTAAACAGTTCACACACGAGGTAGCTGGAAGGGGTTTTTGCAGTTAAACTATATATCAGACAAAAATTGCCACAGCAGCAACTGGATCAGACTGAAAAACTGAGGACATTCCACACCATTCTGTATAAACTCTAGAGATGCTTGGGTTGTAAAATCCCAGTAGATCAGCAGTTTTTGTGAATTCCTCAGCCTGCCTGGCACTAACAAGCATGCCATATTTGAAGACACTTATATCACATTTCTACCTCATTGTGATGCTCAGGTTGAACCAGCAGGTAACCGTGACTATGCCTAAATACATTAAGTGCTGGTTAGATTTTCAATTAAGGCCAAATAGGACCATAAGTGAATTATTTCTTAATAATTAAGTAAGCTTAATTTCCTCATATTAAATTCTGACCGGAGGCATCGCCCCCTGCTGGCCACTAGAAAGATGCACTTGGTTTCACTCTTTTAAATGCAGTCAATGGTCGGTTCTGTTACACAACAGCACAGCCTGGGAGTGTTTAGCTTTGAATGTAGTGTTTTATTCTATTTAGATTTTAAATGAAACCTAAATAAGAAATAGTTTATTTGGTGCAACTCATTTTAAAGTGACTGCCTACAATAAACTAACAACAACAAGTTCGAGTGAATGAAAAGCTGATGCAGCCGCCCAGCTTGTTATCACTTACTGAATCAGCGAGTTTTGTGTAACCATATGCATCTCTAAACCGATATGGGGTTTACCTTGCTGTTTTTTGGGTCTCTATTATGCTGCCTTTTCTTTTACTTTTCTTTTTTGTTCCTTTGGTTTGGTTTTCTTGTAGTGGACTGTCTGTGTGTTAGTAGTTGTAGTAGTAGTCGTAGTGTACTGGTCTTTCAGTTTGTGACACACAGTTTTAATGCCTGGCATAGTGTCTCGTGTTTATTTTATTTCTCTCCTTTTTTGGGAATGAGGATTGCTCTCTCACTCTCCTCCTCTCTCTCACTCTCTCTCCTTCTCTCTCTCTCTCTCTCTCTCTCTCGCTCTCCTCCCTCCATCCTTTGGTGCTCTGTTTCTCAACCCACCACATACAGTGAGATTTTTCAGGAGAATGGTCACCAAAACTGATTGCTTTATTTGAATGATGCACCTTGGTATATATATATATATATATGTTTTATTTTAAAGAGTAATTGTTTTTAGTTTGGTTTTTTTTCTGTGTGTGTGTTGCTCATGTAAAAATTTCTCCCTTGTTCTCGTTTTTCTTCACTCCATCTTTTCGTTCTCCTGTTTATTTCGTACATGGACTGGCTCTGTCTCTTTACTTCTCACTTTTGCATCCCATACTCTTAACCTCCATCTTTGTCTCGTACGTGTTTGGTGTGGGAGTGCTGCGATTGTTTTGATTGGTCTCTATGCTGCATCCGACGCTTGCTGATTGGCTGAAATTTTCCTTTTTTCAAATGTTTATTTTAATTTTGTTCATTCTTTTCTTTTTTTAGTTTGTTACTCACTCTTGGTCATGTGATGCGCCCGTATTTGGCTGCGTGTAATTTCTGTGTTATATGATTATTAATTTTGTCGAACAAATGTTTTTTACCCCACTCTTTCTCCCCCTCTCTTTTGAATTTTATTTTTAAAACTATTTTCTTTTTAGGTACGTAAACCCCACAAGTTTGGTTTCATATGGAAATGTGACTTTGTTTTTGTCTGGTTTTACTGTCCGGGTCCGACTGGGAGGGCAAAAGTGGGCTGAGAAAGGATGAATGTTTGATTAATCATTAACACTTAAGATTTGCCTTCCGTATTGGTCTCTGCTGATTTGCATGTGTTTCTGCCGATCGTTTACCCAGTTTCATTAATTGCGCATGACACAAACCACACAAACACACACACACAAAATAGCTATATATTTAGATTTCTCATGCAGTGTCATGCACATAATGGAAAAACGAAGATTTGTCCGCCCTATTGGATGTGATACAACCAGTATTTGTATTCCCCGACTGATTTGGCTGTGCTTCCTTTAGGTTTCAGCTGCAAACACCTCCTTGTGATTGCTTTGGTTGCTAGGAGATTGATGCATTTCTCGGCGGTTTTCATGGTTGTCTGCAAATGCTGGCTAACCACCAGCTACGTGGTAGTTAAACTTGAAAAAGTGCTAATCGGAAATGGCAAAGTTTTTGCCTTCATGCAGCAACAAACATGTTTCAAAAGGTGTTCAAAACTTTTTGAACTGGGAAATGCTCATTTGTCTCCTGTGAGTTGTGGCTGTGAGACGGTTGTGGATCTAACTCTAGGCCTTATTGGCCTGATTCTACACTGCCAACGTGATTGTCACACGTCCAAAATGGCGGACAAGTTAACGTCACATGGTTAGAGGTCACATTTCTTGCAAAACCTCAGTAAACAAATAGATTATTAGAGTATCTTAAATGTTCCGTTGCTACAGGGTAAAGGCCTTCGCACACAGCATATCCATCCAAATATATTGTGCTAGATATCTTTTAGACTCGTCTATTCATAATTGAAACGTTCACACCGACTGCGTGATTTCACTGGATCAATTTGAAGCATTTTTCTAACAGTGACCAATCAGATCACTGTATTTGGCAAAAAGTGCTGTAGCTCAAAAAGCACACTGATACTGAATATACATATAGTAAAAAGTTTTGTGTCGCTTTTTTTTGTAGTGCGCTTGCTGCATAATGGCCTTAAGTGTAGTGTTACCTTCAAGCTTAAAGCCTCTGGGAAATTTTCCCTCTTGTAACACAAATGTTTGCATAAATTTGATTCATTGACTAAACTGAGATTTCAGAATGTTTCCACTCAGACACCAGCACACAGTTGTGTGAGAGAGGTAGCCGGGCCTGGCTAATTGAATCATTTGCCACTGACCTTGTCATTTGCAATGAGGGAAAAATGAGGTAAACCTCATTTCCATTTGAATGAAGCTCTGCAGATAAAGAACATGACTCACTGAGAGGGGCGATGCGAAAGGCAGCCTTAATGGTCTTATAAATTGGAGTGAAGCGTGCATGCGCACACAAGCACTCTCATTCCTCAAGCTCTCTCGCTCTCTCTCTCTCTCACACACACACAAGCAGAGGCTCTTCGCTGGGCAAAAGGTCATTAATCTTTAGCTTGCCACACAGTCAAATGTGCAACTTCAACAGCACACTTGGACAGTATGGGTTATTACAGAGAGCTACAATCTCCCTCTCTTAAAGCCCATCAAAGGAAGATGAGGATAGATCAAGGGACTGGAGTAGAAGCCTTTGAAGCTCAGAGAGGAGATTATCAGCCGTCTTGGATTGAAAGGCCGGAGCATTAGTCTGAAATGTCAGCGAGCATGCACATAAACACGCACGCCCCTTTAAAAAAAAAAGAAAAAGCCACAGTACTTGCCAAAAAATAAGTACAGCTCAGTTTCTTTTGCTGTATCCCCACCCCTGTTTATGCGCACATCAACAATACAACCAGTGTCACCAGTGGCACTCCTTGTATCTGTTCATAGCGAATCACTAAATCTCTACTGGGCAACCTGCTTTTTATTGCATGATGACTAAAAAGTCCCCTAACAATCTCCATCCAGTTATACACACAGACACACACGTGCTACATAAACAAGAGTCAGCAGCCTCGTCGCTGATGAAAAGCAGCAGCACTCACTTTTATTTTCCAGCCTGTGATGTTGTGTTTCATTATTCTGCAGAGGCAGATTTCTCTATAATGTGCACAATATTTAACATGTGCTGCCAGCAGAAGAAAATATCGTTTGACCTTCAAGGGTGCATTTTGATGATAATTATTATAATAAAGAAATGTGGCAGACTAGGAAAGGCTGATTGGGGGAAGAAGATAAGCTACAATGTTGGCACAACTAAATTGCTTAACCATAATCCCAAATGACACCGCTATTTCCTTTTTAATAACAAAGTCAGCCACACGATGAGCAGAGACTATCATAATACCTCATCACAGCAGCAGGCTTTTTCAATCTACTGTACAAAACAGCACGCATATCAGCCCTGGCCTTGAGATTTACATTTCAGACTATGTGCTACTTTTCCTCTGCTGAGCTGTTGTGTCTGTGCCTCTGACTGCTGGCTCCTCCATCCCCCAGGTGAATAACGCCACCGCCAGAGTGATGACTAACAAGAAGATGGTCAGCCCTTATCCTAATGGAGAAGCTCTCAGCACACTACCCTATGGTAACACACACTGTGATGTGCACAAACAATGAACCCAAGCCTGTCTAAAAATACAAACATCATAGGTACACGCGAAGAATAGTTTATAGCTTCGCAGTCCATTAAGTTCATTTCCAGCTCTGCGTTCTTATTGTTGTTCACACTGTGGTTTTTAGTCCGTTTGAATCGGACTCTGGCACAGTTTTCTTACTTGTTGCGGGGTCGTTTGAGCAGATGCGAACAAATTGGCACTCGGGTGTAGACCAAAACAACTGCACCGAGACGCATCAGAGGTGGTGGTCTGTGTGGTTTGTTTACAGTGTGAAAGCGAGCTGAACCAACAACCTGCAGGTTTGAGTGATAGCGAGGTATGCTTTGCATTCTGGGATGCAGCAGCTACCATAAATGCACAGAGTCAGAGCGAGCTAGCAACAAGCTGTAAAATGAATCTATATCCCCACGTTTACTTTTGTTGCTCCTGCCTCAGACACACCTGATAATCTGACTGAACGTGGTTTGTAGTGATGCATTTTGTAAAAGGAACCAAACTAAAGGAAAAAGCTACAAACTTACAAACTCATTAACTGATTCAGACCAAACTAAACAAACTGCAGGTGTGAAAACACTCTGAGCTCTGCGTCATTCACAGTTCACAAAAGAAACTTTAATAATCAAAATCTATTTTATAATCGGTCCTGGTGCAGTCGGTCAGTTCATCCAAAAAAACAAATAACACAAGAATTGTATTCTTTATGTTTTGATTGGTTGCCCGTTACCAGCAACTGATCTTTATAGCAAGCAACTGATGACAGCAGTAAAAGGGAATATCAGAACATATCCACTGTACACTATATGTAATATACTGGATACACCATTTTTACTGTAAAAACAGATGGGGTACTGTTGTCATACCATAAGTGCTTCTACAAGGACGCTGAGGGGTAGCACTATGCATGCGACAGGCATTAACACTTTAAAGACGGCCCCTGTTTATCGTTTGCTCTTTCCCTTCTCTGTGTGACTATTAGCAGGGTGGAAGTTGAGTCCTGTGGTGGGAGCTATGTATGGACCAGAGATCTACGCAGGTAAGGCCCATCTCTGTCTCTTCAAGCCTCACTAAAAATGGTCTGTCTGGCTGTAGAGTGACAGTCCCACTTTACATTTTAGTCACACTGTGATCGTTAATCTGTATTAATGCACTGCTCACCCAGCATTCTTCCTCACTGACAGTTTTATTGATATAGTCCCTTTGTGTTATAGTTGGAATGTTCCTCTGCTTTTCTTTCAATTTATTCCGAGTGTCACTTTGTTTTATATACTGTCATCCCATTTCCTACCTGGGTTGTCATCTTTCCTCCTTTAATCCTCTTCTGTCCTCTTTATCTGCTTCCTCGCCTACAGTTCCAGGGTTTCCCTACCCTACAGCAGCAGCAGCAGCCACAACAGCGGCAGCGGCATTTCGCGGTGCCCACCTCCGGGGCCGAGGCCGGCCCGTCTACAGTGCTGTGCGGGCCGCTGTGCCGCAGCCTGCCATCCCTGCCTATCCTGGGTGAGGATAACCTGCCTCTTTCTAAACGAGAGCTGTTGCTGTTGAATCTCATTCTGGATATAGAAAAAAAAAATCAGGATCTGTTTTGTTTAGTGCTTCGGTAAATCCACCGAGCATCACCTCATGAGTCATTTTCCAAATTCTGTTTGACCAGGTCTCTGCTTAACACAGCTGTGCTCATTCACTCCTCATGCTCAAACATTATTCACACTTCACTCTCTTCAGCAGTCCAACTGGCACATTGTCAGTCCGTTTACAAGCTATTCAGTGGAGTGTGACACACTGATGGGATTGCACCATTGAAGCCTCATTTGAATAAACACATAGATCCTACCGTCAGCAGATTTGCATAAACACACACGGACCACATGCAGACATTATATAGCAGCAGTCACCTTGCGCACAGATTTGCTTTAGATGATTCACGTTTACCATGATTTGTTTTTGCGTTTTTTTGTTCCCTCGGTGTGTGCGCACCGTGCATGTTGTTGCTGTGCTGCGATGATTGGCTAATGGGGGTTGCGACTGCGATCGTATTCAGTTCAAAGCCAAATTGACCGGTGGCTTGTCTGTACATGACATTTAAATAAAGCGAAACGAGATGAAATTGTGCGTGGGGTGGGTGAGGGATGCAGGAAATACCTTCTCCATACGTGCTCCACTGAAAACTACACCTCCCAGACATCGTTCCTCATAAAACGATCTATTCAAAATGGCCTTTATTGGCTAGATTTTCTACTAGCTGGGGAGCAATAGCCGTTTATGTTCTCATTTCAGTTCGATAACCTTTATGTGTTAGCCCCATGAGTGTATTGTTTAATGTTTTTGAAATGCAGTTGTGGAGCTTAAATGGAACTTGTATTTCCTCTGCATGCTGCATGGGTGTGAAATAACTACTTTTCTCTCTCTCTCTCTCCCTCTTTCTTCCTTTTTCTCCCTCTCTCTACCTGATCTGTCTTTTTCTCTATTTTGCTGTGTTGTGACCTCCATCCACCCTGGGTTTCTGGGACCGTGCACCACTCTGTTCGCACTGCACCCTCCACTTCCTGCTCTTCTTCCGCTCTGTCCCCCTCTCTCTCTCTCCCCCTCCCATGTTCTCCTCCTCCCTCCTCTCAGCGTGGTGTATCAGGATGGGTTTTACGGAGCCGCAGACTTGTATGTAAGTAAATTCACCTCCAACCGACACACCATCTCTGTCCCTCCCCTCACGGCTTTCTCCTGCTCTTTTTTTTTTTTCCCTCTTGGGGTGATTCTGCATGTGTGTCCGGTCATGCGCTGCACAGAGCTGCCTCCATAATGGTGAATGGTGAGAACTCTTTAGAAGCACGACATGCCACATACCTGCACAAGATCCTTTGTCTTTTGTGCATGAGCGTTATTTTTCGTCGACAAACGTGCTGGTTATTATCACACAACTGAGCACCAGGTGTGTTCATTTAAAACTAATAATAAAACTGAATAAATGACATCGTGTGATGGGATCCACAACACCACTACAAAGGCTGCTCTGTAGGCGGATGCGGCAGCGTGCGTCAGTGAATGAGTGTGTGCGTGCGTGCGTGTATCCAGGTTGACAACGGTTGTTTCTGTTCTCTCTATAGACTAGTGTTTCAGGACTCAGTCCTTAGTCCCAGATTGCCTCAGGTAGGGTCAACTCAACACCAAACCCTGAGTGTGCATTGTTTTACTGTACTACCTCCTCTGATCTTATGAATCATCTTCTGATCTGATCTGGAACATGTTGTCTTTTAGTTGTTTTAAAAATTACCGCTGCTTTGAATTTTGCTTTATTCTTTTACTAACTCACTGATTTTTCTTTTTTGTTCTTGCTTTTCCAGTTGTTGGAAAGAGCTTTGTTTTTGTTTTGTTTTGTTTTTTAACTAAAAGTACTAAATTGTATGGAGTGCTTTTTTTCCTGCTCAAAAGAGAACCTGGTCTCTTTTGTCTGGTTGGCTAGTTTTGGTGGAAAATGACACCTGCTCTTATTTTGTTCTCGTGTTGGAAAAGATGGCAGTATGCATACAGTTGTAAAAGTTCTGGTCAAATGTTTGCATTCACTTGTCAGACACACTTATATCACTGCAGTTTGGGCTCCTTAATTATTTCTACAGCTGCTCTTTATTTGAGACGGCAGGAAATCGACTTTTTATGTCACTTGAAAAACAAGTGAGGGTTTTTTTTATGTTCTTTTTTAGATCCTTCAGTAGATACAAGGAAAACTCAGACTGGTCAAAAATAAACTACAAAAGCTGACTGTATTTTTAGTAAGTGTCAGTGGCCTACAGTCATGTAGAAAAGAGAAGTTTTCACTTGGTGCAGTCCTGTGAAGAAATCCGCCAACTTTAGCAATAACTTGATCTTTTTCTGTTTGCCCTCAGCTGTTTACTGAGATCAGGCTCTCACATTGTCGTGGAGGAATTTTGGCCTGTTTTTCTTCACAACGTTGCTTTTATTAGTTTAGATTTGCAGGCGTTTTGCTCATACTTCTCTTTTTTTCAGCCATTCTGCTGATTTGCTCCTTTTCCTGCTGAGTGATGAGTGACTCTGTGACTCCACGGTGCAAAGAAACCCAATTCACAAAACGTGGTGCTGTGGATTATGGCCAAAAATCTATATGGAGACAAAGTTGCCTCAAAAGGTTTACAAACGTGCGTTTTGTGTTTAACTGTTGAGGACTCACAAGCACGTTTCAATCCACACACAAATACAAAGCAATATAACTGGGATGTAACACTATTTCACAAATGCATAGACCCAAACTTTGAATATCATCACATGATTGGCGTGAGGGCCTGTGCAGATTCGTCCATGGATAATTTACATCACAACACACCAACTACACGTGCGCCCAGAAGCATAACAGGTAAAACTACTCGGCCAGCGGCTTATAATCCAGGCTTTAATGGAAGCATAACACTGAACATTTCACAGGACTGCATAGAGTCCAGTAAACAACGCTGCTTTTCACATGACTGTACAGTGCAGGTTAACCTCATGAGACTGACTCGTGCTATTTTGAAACCAGAGGAAAGGGATGAGGCGTGCACTGAGCATGCTCATATGGTAGCAATGTCCCTTTTATTTATTGTTTATTTTAATCTCCTGAGGCCTCTAATTTACTCAGTGCAGATCATGCTGAATCTAGTGATTCAGATCATAACTCAGCAGGAAGTGGTTTGCTGAGATTTCCCCCTCCACATCACCACCAAGCAGACATCTGGTTGTCTTGTGCTTCTGTTTTTTGACCTGTCACCACTCGTTTTGTTTTTTTGTTTAGAAAGTTTGACCTAAAATGCAACTAAAAGAGTGCAATGATTTGTAAATGATTTAAAAGGAAACAGAGAAATGTAGTTTGAAAAGTTTGTAGTTTTGAATTTTAGGAAAGAAACTTTTCTGTTTTGTTTTGGAGCAGGTACAACAAATGATTGGAAAAATTGTGTAACTCTAGAAAACCAACTAAAGGAATATCTCACAGCTAACGAGGTAGATTAGTGGCTTAGTAAGTACAACATCTGTCAAGTAATTACTCAGTATATGGTGCAAAATGTAGTTTAAAGCATACTCTGAGCTCGACATGGCCCACTAAGCCACTAATTATGGTTCATAGTACACCCCTCTGGTGCTAAACTGACCTGCCTGCAGTCCAGACAGAGAACAGTTTTTTTACAGGACGAGGTGGTGCAACATGGTGCAACATTCCCCAGTTTCAGTATTTGATGTTTTGTATCGAAAATAAGCCGTAAATCATTTACAAATCATTGTATTTTTGCACCTTTTTCATAAGGTGGTGAATGCAGATACTCTAGTGCTACTTTTTTTCAGAAATGTTGTTTTAATATGTGCTTTCACGTAATCAGGTTTATTTAAACTTGGCTGCAGAAATAATTGCCCCAGTACTGCTTTAATATACCATAGATGTCTTTTACAAGTATATCTAAACCTTTGACTGTACTGCGTTTTCCAAAAACTAAAACACAAACTATATTTCCAATTGGATGCCTCCATATTATTATTATCAGATTATCATAAACTTGAAGTCGCTTGTGTTGTAAACTTTTTGTTTCTAAATCTGAGGCTGTGATTTTACAGCAGTGTCCCGTGAACATTAGTCAGTGCCCTGAAAGCCTTCTGCCCAGAGGGGGCTCAAGCTGAAATGGAGAACATGGTCTCTTCCTGAATTAACTGCACACCCCCAGGATGATTATTGAAGCATGTGCTGATCAGCTGCTGCATGCCGGCGTGCTGTTTTACTGCTCCTTCTTTCCCCCCACTTACCCAGAAAGCCTTGCTGTCTCCCACTAATAAACATTTTGTACCCCACCTGCCTCCCTCTGCTCCGTGTCTCGTAGCCATCGCTGAGAATGCTGGGATGTTTCTGTTGTGCTTGGATATTCTCCATTCTGATCAGGTCCAAATGCAGTGGGATTGTTTTGTTTCTTTTTATTTGTTTTTCTTTTTTTAAAGGAGGTCTGGATTGTAATTTTGGGTCATGCATGCAGTCTCAGTGCAAGGAGATGATTTTAGTGTCAGTCTAGGCTTGTGTGGGTGTGTCAGTGTGTGTGACCTTTTTGTTTCCTTCTTTTTTCAGTCTTTCTCTCTGTTGTCTTTGTTCTAAATCCATGCAAAAGAAACACTTCTAATAACAAATATTGTTTTTGTCATAAGCAAATCCTCTCCATCACCACTGGAAATGCAACACTAGCATCCGTTAGTGTCCTTAAAGCTGTAGGAGTTGATGTATCTGTTCATTACTTTAATCTTCCCAAGACACTGAGGTTTCTATACGGCCTCAGATGTGTGAGCATTTTGTCTTCCACTACTTGTTTTTTTTTTACCTCCCCCTCTCCCGTAGCGGTAATAATACAATCTAACTCGACTTCGACAGTCCAATTTCCTCTCCCTGTCTCACTGATAAAACATTTCCTCCATCACGCCCCACCACCTCCTCCTTTTCCCCCTATGCATATGCAATATACTGACACAGACTGTATTTTTATCGTACACGCTAAGAAAGTAATTGTGCTGTGAATACACAGAAGAAAGTATTCGTAACTTCTGAACCAAATGTCAGTTTGTTGCATCTCTCCCGCCCCTCCTCCTTGACACGCCGTAGCTCAGGTATCGTCCTCCTCAGAGGCGTGCGAGTTAGTTCTGCTGTATGTGTCTCTCTCAGGGAGGCTACCCGGCTGCTGCTGCCGCCGCCGCCGCCTATCGCTACGCCCAGCCTGCGGCTGTAACCGGGGCAACCGCTGCAGCTGCTGCCTACAGTGACAGGTGAGGTCAAGGCAGGACACACAAATATACACGTAGACACGCTAAACTGTACGGCAAAGCTCCCGA